TGTTTGTTTAATTGCCATCCCATACTGTCAACAGCCAAAATACAGAATAAAATTGGGGTAAATTGATTCCTCCAGCCTTTTGGAAAATGTTTCGTTTCCAAAAGGAAAGCATATACTTAAGATGATATTGCTCTAGATGCATACGGAGACATGCATCTTTCGCTATACATTTGCAATCCTTCTGATCAGAGATTACAAACAAATTATATTTAGCCTCTGACTGCAGGCGATATTGCAGCCCTGTGGTTAAAGGTTCCATTTTGTCATGCAGTTGCTTACCTGTGTATCAATTTATCATAAACCTGGGCTCCTCAGTCTCAGTGTCTGCGCTTGCAGTTGTTAGAATATATCCTTCACCCTTTGTCTGCAGACAATACTGTCCTAAACCTGATCTTGCGGTTTTACAGACATTTCCATACACCAGTATTCCCGATAGAATGAAAGCAGGCTCAGGCTCAACTACCAATAAAAGAGGGCGAGTGCAATTCGGAATTTGTTGGGGTTAAAAAAAAAAAAAAAAAAAAAAACCACAACCCTTTGCAATCAACCTCAGGGAATCAAAGGCAGCAATTGGCCGGCTCTTGTTTTGTTTTGTTTTTAAATCGTGCGGCCATTTATGAATTTTGGGGAAGAGCAACACAAACCCCTTTATAATCAGAAATATAGGCGCTGCCTTCAAACACAAGCATATTTGTTCACGTGATCCCCAGAGTAGATTGTTCTGATTGAGGCTGGAACTTTCACAATGTCCGTCCTCTCCGAGCCCCCCAGAATAGACATGTCTGGGGGTGTTACGCGGGGCTCCAAAGGCGCCCAGCCACCTCCTGCAGAAGCATTGCAACAGTCCACTGCAAAAATGTCTTCACACTCCACTAAAGCTGGCGTTAGATTATTGTTTTAGGCATGGAATGGCCAAATTCCCTTTCAGATCTATTACAAATCCCGCTGGTTAAATTGATCTCTTTGGCCAAGTACTATCAGGACCTTCTCTTCCTAGGTAAATTGTGCGTTCCTAGCTCTCCTGGACAAATTAAACTCCCACGGCAATCTTCCATGGAAGCACCCCGCAATTCGTGAACACTCCGTAATTTCTATGGCATTCATCTTTTCCCGTGTGGGTAAAACAAATACAGAGGGCATTAATCCGACTAGCAGCCTCTTCAGCCATTGCTGATCAAATAAATTAATAATTCAGAAATTTGTGACAGAAGAAAATAAATTTGGATTTAAGGTAACTGAAAAGAATAGGCATGGATACAAACTCTGCAGCACAAACGTGCACTGAGAGGTCACTGAAACGTACTGGGTTTTACTAATATGCTCTCTTTTTCCTCCCCCTTCTTTTCTGTAGAGGAGAAACTTAAGTAAACTCGTTTTTTCCGGAAGCTGGAGACTTAGAAAAATCACATTACATTTCTGCGTGTGGACTGAGCCTTATTTCTTTCTGTGTCGTGCATACGCATGTCTGTAGCCAGAACAAAAGCTACATGTATATGTCCAAAGGATGTACACAAAGATTCTGAACATGTAAAATTCGGCAAAAATGTATATTCGCTCTTTGTTTGATTTTCTAAGCTATTTGCAGCTATAACAGCACCACACCTAATCTAGCATCTGCTAAGATTTCATTACCACCCAAAGCATGGCGACCTGACAGTAACGTATTACCTTACAATCCTATCCATAAGTGTATTGTAACATTTATCTAAATTACATTGCTTTCCCTGACTTTCCAAACCAGTCATAAAAAGATTGGAGTCCAGTTAGCTAAGCATAAATTCCGTGTAAATGATGGTGTACCACTCCGGATTTATAATCATATATTTCCTGGAAATGGTGCCTTTAAATCCTGCCTCGAATACAAGGTAATTGTTCTTTACATCCTTTCCCGTCAGCCATGCAGTTTACATCAGTGTACCTAGCTAGGGGTCTGTCTAGATTTACATAGAGGTAGACAGATGTATGTATCCAGCGCAGGAAATAATTCTACAGAGTATTTAGACATTTTCGAATGACGAAAATATCCTTCCCATAAAAACGCTCATCGACCACGCAAGGATCAAGTGGAGGAAAAAAAATCCCCTTTTTTGTGAGCAATTTGGCAAAAGGTACCCACCACCGAAGGAGTTGTTTGAGTTGCATGGCCAAAACCCCCCCCCAAAAAAACCCAAAAAAACAAACCCAACCACCAAAAGCAGCAGCAAAAATTAAGCCGTTGCAAAAGGACTGGAAAAGCATTAAGGAAGTGTTAATCCCCAGCGATAGCAGGATTCCAGCTTTGCGTGAATTTGTCTCCAGTAAAGGATCTAAGACTTCTTCAATCGGAGCATATGTTCATAGAGCAATAAAACAGAAAGATTTACAGTCTTCGCCCGCCCCCAGCAGCCTCGCACCCTTTCAGGAATTACTTACGATGATTTATAACAACAACTCCGGCAATTGTCAAACTGATAAAATATCCCGGGCTATATGCAGGAATAAACGTTATTATTAAAGTGTTTCAATTTATGTTCGGGTCCATTTTACTGCGTGGCATTGTGGAGTTTGGGCTCTTTCCGGACAAACAGAATAATATAAACCTCATTGATAAAAATGTAGGAGTTCTCATGAAGTAGCAAATCTGTTTCTTAGTCACTACCAAAGCACATAAACATTTGTCATCTTTGAATAATTGAATTAATGTGTTATTGTTTTAATGTATAATTCATAACATAGGAAACTTTGTCTCTGTCCTGCCACAAAACGGAAGTAATAAAAGCTACAATCTGGGTTTTTAAGAAATTACTCCAGCAAGGGATAATAAAGAATATCCTGTTTGCAGAAAGGATTTCCAACTGACTGGGGAATTTCACAGAGGAATCTCAGCCTTGAGGTCCAAATCGTATTGGTTAGGAGGAAAATGATTTCTAGATCAAAACTGTAGCCTGGCAATGTCCTTCTCAGTTTGGACTCTTGGAATTGGGGAGAGTGCAGGACTGCAGGGGGAGGCACAGTTGACACTGGGGCTTCCCCTTCGGAGCGCCCCTCCACACTGCTCCCCGCGCCAGGGGCACAGACAAGGCGAGCGCGACCGGTCCCAAATGGGGGGCAGGTCTGGCAAAAATAAATAAATAAGTGAATAAAAATAAAATTCCCCCTTCCCTTTGTGTCCCGGTGGCGGGGAGGTCTGGTGTGGGGAGAGAGCCTCTGAATTCATTATCTCCTGGCTAAAGCCTGCCTTGGGTAAAATTTCAACTCAGTTTTATAGCCTTCTATTATGACGCAAAGAAAAATTTACGACCCTTGTTTGAAAAGAAGTTCAGGGCCTTTTCTCACCATTTTAAGAATGGGCAGCAGATGCCCTGACAGCCAGTATTGTTCCCAGTTAGACACAAGCAACCAGTAAATCTTCTCCCATTTCACTACACATCTCAGCTTCTCTCCTCTCTCCAGAGTACGACCAGGCACACACACAGGGATCTTTTTGCCGAAGATCACAATTTTTCATATAGTGTAAACTGTTCTCTGAATCAAAGGTCACTACATCAGCCCGGACCAACTTCGGACTCTGCCTGGTTCCAAATCAGGAAGCCCGGGGTCCTATTTGTCAAGCATTTGACAGCTAAGTTCATTAAGGATTTAAATATGAAGGAATAAAAGTAAAATGTTTACATACCAGGCTTCTCTTTTTCGGCTGCTACCAAAGAGCTAGGTGTGGAGAGAAAGGGACTGCACCCTTTGTATATTATATTCTTGGGATCTCTTCAGTTTTCAAGTCTGATAGAGTCCTTTGCTTGGCAGATTAATGACGACTCCGTGTTTCTTAAGGGACGTGCTGAATTAATTATTTCGCAAATCACGTGGTCAGGACTTGTAGAAATCTATTCTTATCATCTTCCTTGCACTTTGAAATTCGGCCTCTTATGACTGTGCCTTGCAAGATTATTTTGGTCTATAGGCTTACAAAAAAACACGGGGAAAGGCTAACAAACATGGCCGTTGGAAGCTGTGTGGCTGTGCATTGAAAGGTCCCTATTTACTGTACTGTACAGTGAGTGGTGTTTGCTATTGACTCTGCCTTTCCTCCTCATTCTTACCTTAACGACTAGCGGTGATATAATATACAGAATTGTATTGATGTATTGGTAATAACAGGAGGAGCCATTAAGCAGAAGACACTGCAAGTATAATCACAAAATGTGCCTGAATATTTAAACTCAATGCCTGGGTACTTGTCAACACGCACGCACACAGAGCTCTGCCCAAGCTTTCCATGGGTGAAGGGCGCACGCCTGATTTGGGGGCATTATTCTGATTTTGCAGGCGGCCTATTTTTGCACTCATGCCTTGGCCATCCTTCAAGAAAAGGCAAGTCATATGTGACAAATATCTGTGATAACAATAAAGCGATGGACCCCTTGTAGCAAGAAGGGTTTGTTGTCATCTGAGTTATTCATGTC